TCTGTCTGTCTGTCTGTCTGTCTGTCTCTCTCTCTCTCTCTCTCTCTCACACACACACACACAATTAAAAACATATCACAGGGCTAGTGAAATGGTTCAGTGAGGAAAGACACTTACTACCAAGCCCGATGACCTGAGTTCACTCCCCAGGACCCATATGGGGTTTGAAAGGACAAGACCAACACCCACAAACTGTCCACTGATCTCTCCATACTCACATGTGCGCCAAGGCACAGAAAGAAAGCAACGGAGTAGCAGGCAAGCAGCAACGCCCAAGAACCGAGTGAGAGCATCTTTCAGACCCTTCAAGCTCATTTCTGCCTCGGGGCCTCCGTACCTGTTTCCATGTGCCCCATCCGGTAGAGGTTTCAGAGAAGCCTCCTCAGAGGAGCTTCAGAAAGAGTTACCTCTTCTCCCGGATGGCACCAGGCTCCCTTGTAACGCTCGCTCCTTTGCCATTTTCTTTTCTTTTCTGGTTTTTCAAGGCAGGTTTTCTCTGTGTAGCTTTTTTTGTTTGTTTGTTTGTTTATTCGGGACAGAGTTTCTCTGTGGCTTTGGAGCCTATCCTGGAACTCACTCTGTAGACCAGGCTGACCTCGAACTCACAGAGATCCACCTGCCTCTGCCTCCCGAGTGCTGGGATTAAAGGCATGCACCAGCACCTCCAGGCTTAATATGTATTTTTCAATTATTACTTTACTTAGTGTGCTTGTGTGTATCTATGTTAATGTGTGTGTGTGGTCAGAGGATAACTTGCAGGAGTCAATCTATCTTTCCACCTTTTCGTAGGTTCTAGGGATCGACCTCAGGTCCTCAGGCTTGCCCAGTGAGCACGTTTACCTGCTGAGCCATCTTGCTGGTCCTGTGTTAATGCTCTTAATCCTCAAAACTATACTTTGAAGTTTTTGACACTGAGGCACAGAGCAGTTAAATGCCTTGCAACATCACAGAGCTTAGAGGAGCCAGGACTCAGGCACAGGCAGGTGGGGTCCATAATAGGCCTGGCACACAGTAGGCACTGAATGAATGCATAACCCAGAGCCTTCCCTTTCCTTCCTGCCCTGGTCCCCTTAGGGCCACTCTTACCTCCATTGGCCAGCTGGGGTGGGGCTGCAGGGATCGAGGCAGAAATTCTGCCAGAGGGTGTCCAGGTGTTAGGTTTCCTGCTCAAGCCAGCCCCAGGGGTCTTCGTGGGAGCAGGGGTCTCCCAGGGCCGGGCACGTCTGGCTTCACAAGCTGCCTGACCCACTTCTTCAGTCACAGCTACATCACGTCGTGGGGGTGCCAGGGTGATAAACACAGAAGAGGCCACCCTCTTCTCAGGCTTGGAGGCCATGATCAGCAGTTCCTGCTGGGGCTGGGGGCACAGAGGTTCAAGTGGACAGGGTACCCTGCTGTCCACAGAAGAACTTACTCAGAATCTCTTTTCTCTCAGGAGACTGGTGAGCCCAGCCCAACACCCAATTCATCCAGAGATGGGACTGAGGCAGGTGAATGGTGAGTTCTAAGCCAGCCTGGGTTGTGCAGTGAGAAGGAAAGGGAGAGACATAGGAGGGGCAGGGGATGGCCTACAGAGAGGCCAGGTGGCTACCAGGTGTCCAGGTCACAGGGGCCCACACACCCTGAAGGCCCCTCCCAGTGGCCTATGGACAGCTCTGCAGACTCAAGAGAACAGCCACCCTGGCCACCTTCTCCAGAGCCCAGCCCAGGCATCTGACAGACACAGGCCTGATACCTGCCAAAGGCCCCTCCCTCACCTGAGACACCAATTCTATCGGAAGACAAGGTCCAAGGTTCAGGCCAGTTCCACTGGAAGAAAACAGCAACATAAGAATGACGAGATGAAGAAAGGCAGGTCCCACTCTGTTCCCATGCTGCCCTGAGCACCCAACCACAGAGATGGGGCACATGGAAACAGGTACGGAGGCCCCGAGGCAGAAATGTGCTCTGTTATCACCCAATCTCGTGAGTGAGAAAACTAAGATTCAGAGAAGTCAAGTCCCTTGTCCAGGGCCACACAGCACTGGAGCCATGCATGAGGCCTCTCAGTTCTCTTCTGCCCTCTCCACCCGGCCCCCAAACCAGCACATTCTTGATTCTGCCTCCTGGTAGAATTTTTGCTCTGCTCCACCTCCTAACCTGAATCTTCCCAGAGCACAAATCTGATTGTTTCTCTTGTGCTTAAAAGTGTTTTCGAGCTGGGCATTGGTGGCGCATGCCTTTAATCCCAGCACTCGGGAGGCAGAACCCTGTGAGTTCCAGGACAGCCTGGTCTCCAGAGCAAGTGCCAGGATAGGTTCCAAAGCTACACAGAGAAATCCTGTCTCTAAAAAACCAAAATAATAAATAAATAAATAAATAAATAAATAAAAAATAAAAGTGTTTTTGAGACAAGGTTTCTCTGTGTAGTCCTGGCTGTTCTAGAACTCACTCTGGAGACCAGGCTGGCCTCAAACTCACAGAGATCTGTCTGCCTCTGCCTCCCGAGTGCTGGGATTAAAGCCGTGTGCTACTACCACCACCCTGCTGCTTCAAAGTTTTTAAGGTTCCTTATTTCCTCCGAAGGGTAAGTCTGAGTCTCGGTGGTTTCAACCTCCCCCAACCCTGCCCATCTCTCTGATGTTAGGGATGGCCTTGGGATCTTGTACATGCTCTACCACTGAGCCATACCCCCAACCCACCTCAAGTTATTATTATTATTTATTTTTGGTTTTTCAAGACAGGGTTTCTCTGAGTAAGACTGGCTGTTCTGGAACTCTTTTTGTAGATCAGGCTGGCCTCGAACGCAAGAGATCTACCTGCCTCTGCCTCCTTGGGATTAAAGGCTTGTACCACCATGTCTGGCCCCTAGTTATTTTTAACTACCTTAACCCTTTCTTCCCACTAGAGGATCCAGTCTTTTTTCCCCTTTCTGTTCTTAAGGAGTTAATTTCAGCTCTCTGAGACCCAGTTCAGACTTCACCTGTCCTCTACAAAGCCTCCCTTGACTCCCACCCTGGGGCAATCTGTGGCTTCCTCAGGATAAGAACAGATCCTCATAGTACCGATGGCTCACTATCCATGTGTCTGATCCCCTCGGGTAACCTTGCCTGTCTTCAGCTGTCTGCATCAGGAGCCAGACAGCAGCTCACAGAAGCAGGTATGGAAGCAGAGATCTGTGCAGAGGAAGTACCGCCATGTTGGAAAGGGCATAGAAGCCTCTGGGGCTGAGGTCTAGACGGGTCACTGGGGGTGAACTGGCCACCGAAGTCCTCACCTGGCACCTGGCTAAAAATGTGTCCTTTATCTCTCTTCCTCTTTCTGTATGGGCCACCATGATGCAACTGAAGCCCAGTCATG